GGCGGCGGCGGCGGCGGCCAGCAGGGAGGTGTTGTAATGCTGCGGGGAGGGAACGGGGAAAGGTCGGGTTTTGAAGGAAATAAAGGGTCAAAATTCGGGTTGGTGCAGCAGGAGATAAAGGGTTAAAATTAGGGTTTTTGCGGGGAAATAAAGGGGTTAAAGTTCGGGTTTTGCGCGAAATAAAGGGGTTAAAGTTCGGGTTGGGCGGCAGCAGGTAAGGGGGTAAAATTTGGGTTTTGAGGGAAATAAAGGGGTTAAAATTCGGGTTTTGTGCGAAATAAAGGGGTTAAAGTTCAGGCTGGGCAGCAGCAGGTAAAGGGGTTAAAATTCGGGTTTTGAGGGAAATAAAGGGTTAAAATTCGGGTTGTGCGGCAGCAGGTAAAGCGTTAAAGTTCGGGTTTTGAAGGAAATAAAGGGGTTAAAATTTGGGTTGTGCAGCAGGAGATAAAGGGTTAAAATTCGGGTTTTTGCGCGAAATAAAGGGGTTAAAATTCGGGTTGTGCAGGAAATAAAGGGGTTAAAATTCCTGTTTTGCAGCAGGAGATAAAGGGGTTAAAGTTCGGGTTGGGCGGCGGCAGGGAAAGGGTTAAAGTTCGGGTTTTGCAGGAAATAAAGGGTTAAAATTCGGGTTTTGCAGGAAATAAAGGGGTTAAAATTCAGGTTTTGCAGCAGGAAATAAGGGGTTAAAATTCGGGTTGTGCGGCAGCAGGTAAAGCGTTAAAGTTCGGGTTTTGAAGGAAATAAAGGGGTTAAAATTCGGGTTTTGCAGGAAATAAAGGGGTTAAAGTTCGGGTTTTGCAGGAAATAAAGGGTTAAAATTCGGGTTTTGAGGGAAATAAAAGGGTTAAAATTCAGGCTTTACAGCAGGAGGTAAAGGGGTTAAAATTCGGGTTTTGCAGGAAATAAAGGGGTTAAAGTTCGGGTTTTGCAGGAAATAAAGGGGTTAAAATTCGGGCTGTGCAGCAGGAAATAAAGGGGTTAAAATTCGGGCTGTGCAGCAGGAAATAAAGGGGTTAAAATTCAGGGTTTGCAGCAGGAAATAATGGGTTAAAATTCGGGGTTTGCAGCAGGAGATAAAGGGTTAAAATTCGGGTTTTGCGGGAAATAAAGGGGTTAAAATTCAGGGTTTGCAGCAGGAAATAAAGGAGTTTTTGTCAAGGGGAGGCTTTGGCAGTTTGGGTTTCAGCAGCCCAGGCAGTGGGACAGGAAATGGATTTTTAGCTCTGTGGTCCCCCAGTTTTGAAGCCAAAAGGAATTGGGGATGTTGGGGTTACAAATGTGGTTTGTAAACCCAAATGCCACCAAGCAGCAGGGAGGGAATGGGATCAGAGAGCCCAAAGCAGGAAAAAGGGTGAGCAGCAGCATTTTGGGGCTAAAANCCTTTGCCCCAACTCACAACTGAAATACTCCATTTCACTCCAAGCTGTGATCCCAAGCCCAGGCCTCGTGTGGGAGCCAGCCCAGAGCTACCCCAGGAGGCTCCAGGCCAAGCCCAGAAGGTTCCAGAGCTGGCTCACTGTGGAGGCTCTGCCTGCCCCCAGGGCTGAGTGCTCACCCCTTGCTGTTCATGGGCGATGCTGGGGATATGGAGGGACAGCTCCTCTTGGCCGAAGGCTCCTCCTCCTCCTCGTCTGACGAGCTGTCGATGGTCAGGTCGATCACTTCCACCTTCTTGTTTTTGTTGGATTGCTGGTGGGAGGACACCTGGTGCTCCAAGGAGGAGCTGATGCATCCTGCACAGAACCAACAACCAGTCACACCCACGGCTCCTTAAAAGTTTAACATTAAAATAAAAAATAATCACAGAATGTTGGTAGCTTTAAACACCACCAGCCCCAGACAGGTGTGACCCAATTAGCTGAACAGACATGATTAAAGCTATAAATGCATGTTTAAAAATGAGCATTTTGGGAGTGAAGGAGCACAGGGGAGAGTGCCCTGCCCAGCCCAGCCCAGGCTCACCATCCACTCCGTTGTAGGATGCTGTCACCTCCTGCACCTCCTTCTTGGACCTCATGGGAGCCCAGGAGCCATCCTCCTTGAACTGGATTTCATCACAGTCTGTACAGAACTTCAGAATTTCCATGAACAACCTGTCCATAAAAATATTTCACATCAGTCCCAAAAAAAGAGCTTTTTTTCCCTTTATTAGTCACAGGAAATCTGAATTTGTGGTGAAGCTTTTGCTGTTCTGTTCTTCTCTCACTGCCTCCTTGATGAAAAGGAATCACTGACAAAATTCGAGTATTACCTAAAATAAAAAATCTGCAAAAATGAAGATTTTTATTTAAAAGTACCAACAGTGGAATCCTGCAGAGCTCATGACACAGAACTCTCCATTTCCCAAAACAAAGGAATTCTGTGAACAAAAGTTGATCAAAAATCCTGACAAAACTTAACTGAGGAAACCTCTCTTAAACCTGAGGATTTAAGGCCTTGTGGAACTTCCTACCAAAAGCTGAGCCTGAGAATCTCAATTTGCAGCCTCCTCTCCCACAGGCACGTCCTAAAATTTTAGGATCCTGGCAGCACATCAGTGCCAGTGGGAATTCCAGCTCCTGACCAGGCCCATTCATGTGGTTCTGCAGGGAAGAGCTTGGCTTTAATTAGAGCTTGGCTTTAATTAGCTCCCTCTTTCCCAGATTGGAGCATTTTCCACAAATAACTTTCTCTTTGGGATGCTCCAGTGAGATCAGACCCAACAGCTGCACCTGGCAGCAGCAGGAGAAACAAGGGAAAGTGGGGTTTGCATTATTGCTGCTTTTTGGCTTTGCTGTTTTAGGCACAAACCCCAAGCAGGAGCCCCCAGCTCTCTGATCCAAGGCAGATTTATCCCTGGAAATCTGGGCCTGCAGGAGTCCAGACCAGCCTGAGTGTCTCTGGCAAGGCTCTAAAGGGATCCTGAGTGATCTCATCCTCCCTTAGCAAAATAAAACCCACATTCCCTGAAAGACTCCTCATTGATGAGGTGGTTTTTTAACATTTTGGGGTTTCCTGGGTGTTTTCAGCTTTGCTTTTGGAGTTTTTCTGTATGTGTTTCATCCATTTTTGGGCTTTGTTTTATATTGAGAGTATTCTCAATATAAAANTTGCTTATTTTCAAATTGAATTTCAATTCAAAACACGTTCTGAGCTTCCTGGAGGATGTGCAGCCATTCCAAAGCTGCATCACACACTCCCCAAGCTTCTCCTCACAGAATCCCACCAGGAACATCCCCTCAGCCCAGCACAGCTGGAATTTGGGAGAGCAAAGTTCAGTCCCAAACAGCAGAAATGCTGCTGGGATCTCTGGAAATGCATTACAGGAGTTTTCAACAAGGACAGGACAATCCTGAAGGAACACTGAACCCCAACCCCACAGGGGCCTGTGTGACCCCACAAGCTGGGAAAGGCCGTGAGGGGCTGCAGGGGTCCCTGAGTGCTTCCAGTGGGAGAAAAACATCCCCAGATTTGCACAACCCACACTTCCGTGCCTTTTGCATCATTTTACACTCATTTTTTTTCAAATACAGCTGAAATATTCTGTGTTGCACGCTCAAAAGTTAGGATTCCATTTGCGCCAATTCACAAACAGCTGAAATATTTTATTATGCTGCACACTAAAAAACTGTGATTGCCCTTGCACAATTCACAAACACAACTNTGGTGCTCCACACTCAAAGCTGTGATTTCCCTATGCACCAATTCACAAACACAACTGAAACATTTTATTGTGTTCCACAGCCAAAGCTGTGATTTCCTTTCCACCAATTCACAAACACAACAGAAATATTTCATTGTGTTCCACACTTAAAATCTTTGATTGCCTGTGCACCATTTCACAAACACAATTGAAATATTTGTGTTGCACACTTAAAACTGATTTCCCTTTGCACAATTTCACAAACATAACAGAAATATTTCATTGTGTTGCACACTTAAAATCTTTGATTCCCTGTGCACCATTTCACAAACACAATTGAAATATTTGTGTTGCACACTTAAAACTGTGATTCCCCTTGCACATTTCACAAACACAACTGAAATATTTGATGGTGCTCCACACTCAAAGCTCTGATTTCCCTATGCACCAATTCACAAACACAACAAATATTTCATTGTTTTCCACACTTAAATCTTTGATTCCCTATGCACAATTTCATAAACACAACAGAAATATTTCATTGTGTTCCACATTTAAATCTTTGATTCCCTTTATACCATTTCATAAACACAACTGAAATATTTGTGTTGCACACTTAAATTTTGATTTCCTTTGCACCAATTCACAAACACAACAGAAATATTTCGTGGTGCTCCATACTCAAAGCTGTGACTTCCCTATGCACAATTTCACAAACACAACTGAAATATTTCATTGTGTTCCACACTTAAATCTTTGATTCCCTTTGCACCAATTCACAAACACAGCAGAAATATTTCATTGTGTTCCACACTTAAATCTTGATTCTCTGCGCATCATTTCAAAAACACAATTGAAATATTTGTGTTCCACACTTAAATCTTTGATTCCCTTTACACCATTTCATAAACACAATTGAAATGTTTGTGTTGCACATTTAAATCTTTGATTCCCTTTGCACCAATTCACAAACACAACTGAAATATTTCATTGTGTTCCACACTTAAATCTTTGATTCCCTTTACACCATTTCATGAACACAATTGAAATATTTGTGTTGCACACTTAAATTTTGATTCCCTTTGCCCCAACTCACAACTGAAATACTCCATT